CAACAACAACAACAACAACAACAACAACAACAACAACAACAACAACAACAACAACAACAACAACAACAACAACAACAACAACAACAACAACAACAACAACAACAACAACAACAACAACAACAACAACAACAACAACAACAACAACAACAACAACAACAACAACAACAACAACAACAACAACAACAACAACAACAACAACAAGAACAACAAGAACAACAAGAACAACAAGAACAACAAGAACAACAAGAACAACAAGAACAACAAGAACAACAAGAACAACAAGAACAACAAGAACAACAAGAACAACAAGAACAACAAGAACAACAAGAACAACAAGAACAACAACAACAACAACAACAACAACAACAACAACAACAACAACAACAACAACAACAACAACAACAACAAGAGAACATAGAGGACTAAAAAAAACCCAAAAAAACAACAACAAAAAACAAGGGCCTGTACAATGTAGGTGCTATACTTATGTTATAATGCTGTGCCGGTGAGGTGAAGTGCGCCTATATACATGTACATGTACATGCACCGGTACATGATTGTACTCACATCGTCATGTACATGAATGACTTTTTGTATGCTTTGCGTCTTAGCGTTGAGTTGAGTCTCACATCCAGTAAATTTGCACTTGGTTAGACCCTACTCAAAACAGGTTCCAGGAAAAAACACCAGGGGGGCTTTAGCACTCTCTGGTGTAGACCAGGGTTCTTTAGCAGTCCCTGGTGTACACCAGGGTTCTTTAGCACTCCCTGGTGTACACCAGGGTTCTTTAGCACTCCCTGGCCTGGTGTACACCATCAAGCAGAAATTGGTGTTGCTGTTGTTGTTGTTGTTGTTGTTGTTGTAGAAGTTTATTTAACGTCGCACCACAAACAGGCGGTTTCGACTCCTTTGATACATGTGGACGACAGAGGGAATTATAGCAATAAAAACTGCTTTATGGCAGTTTTCTAAAAAAAGTTATTGTGTTCTAGTCCATGGACCCCGTCTAAAAAGTAAGAAATTAACGAAATGTGATAGCCGAAAATTAAAATTTCACACAAAACCTCACAATAATCACAACACTTGAAATGCTAGGAGCTGCATCTGCGCCTTGATCCTTGAAGGGTGGTGGCGTTCCTACGGATGCGGAAAACCCGGCTTCCAGCCGAGTCTCACGCGAACCGTGAAATTTTTTTTTTTTGAAATGCTGCTTTCAACACTAAACTTGTACTGCACCAACAATTGGCAACATGCATGTCATGCATGCATAGGAAAGAGGATCACGAGGGGAAAAGGTCTTCTACATGTACAATCATGTAGCTTTTCATTCTGTGTGTGATTATTGTGAGGTTTTGTGTGAAATTTTAATTTTCGGCTATCACATTTCGTTAATTTCTTACTTTTTAGACGGGGTCCATGGACTAGAACACAATAACTTTTTTTAGAAAACTGCCATATCGCAGTTTTTATTGCTATAATTTCTTTTGTTTTTTTTGTCACCAATCAATGGAATGTGCTAAATGATGGCCTTCACATCATATCAATACCGTATTATACGCATTGATGTGCAAGCCTTTCCTTCAGAAAATAGCACTAGCATGTTCTTCTGCGGGGAAACATGTGAGTAGTGGTGGACCGTGGTGATACTTTTTTTTTATACGGAGGTCATTCTGTGCATGTTGCTGTAGTATGACTCTGTCATCAAATTGTCTTGCCTTTCAGATATTTCAGATTTCCCCACCCTCGATCAGATTTATTTGAGAAATGTAACCAGGTGCGTGTCACACATGTTTTTGTTGATTCTGTGTTTATAATGGTTTATAATCATGGGTTATCGTGATAAGGTCATCTTGCATCCTTATTGCACTGAAATCGTAATCCTGTTGATGTCGATACAACTTTTGGAAGTAGTTCAATGACTTCAAACTGTTAGTCCACGATTTTCTAAAACAACACAGCAAAGGAGGAACAATAAACATGTATTAAAATGTAAACAAATACATTGCTGAGTCCGACACCTCGTTCCAACAACTACACTGATCCTGAGGATAAAAGGGGCAAGGCTATGGTTGGAGGTACTGAGAGATAAACAAGGCACTCCATAATAATAAAATCTTACACATCTTTTGGTGAGTATGAATGATATCCAGTCTAACCTCTTTAGGTCGAACACCAAGGGACCGATGGTATTTATTCTGTGTAGTTTGTCTTAACCTATTTTATAACCAGTGAATACAATTTCTTCTCCCATAGACATACAAAATAGATTTCTTCTACAGCGAAAGATTCTAAGCCACACCAACTCATTGACTCGTCTCGTATGAAAGAAATGAGTCACTAGAGAGGTTCCGCAAACCGAAAATGCGTACAAACTTTCGTTCTACATCATGAAGTGCAAAACTTCGCACGAATTCGCAACTTTGGACGCGAAACTTGCAGGGGACGCGAAATGAACTGTCGTACACACTTTCGTGAGATCGGGTCATGGCGTACGTGCGCTTGGCCCGCGCAAACTACGAAAATGTGCAGAACGCAAAGTTCGTGCAAAAATTCGTACACACTTTCGCAAGGACTGTCGCGAAACTTCGTTCGAATTTTCGTTTTGCAGAACCTCTCTACTGAACGTTTCTTTAGCAACATGACGGCAACTGAAACAGCAACAGAGAAAGTACGATACATGTACAGCACATTCTTGCAGGTACAACAAACAGATTGCAGATCGTAATTCTTGCTTTGGCGGCACGAAACTTTATTTGGGGCAGTGCAATCTCGGCGGTACTCACAAATAATAAATCAAACAGCCCAGACTCGAGTAAACAAATCCAATCATACAAGTACGAGATCTTCACGAGACGAGACTGCACCCATTGGCTTGTTTCGTATGAAGCAAACAAGTTTACTGAACCTCTCCACAATGGAGATTTTCCCTGATATGCGAATTTATTATGCAAACTCGGTCTTGAACCTTTCCCTCCAGATTGGGAACTGCCAACGATAGTATGCCACTGACCAGTGCCTTACTTGTAACGTACGTACCAATGTACAATGAATATGAGTACTTCGACAACACATCTAACATAAGCCTTAAGCTGTGTTCACAACTGGCGCGTGGACGCGGTACGCTTGCGGTTCATGCGCCCCCAAACGCGCGCTCAGCCTTTCACAAAAAACAGCAATCCGAGTCGTATTTAGCACGGGCGACACCTTCGAGTACTAATTTTTTGACCCTGCCAGTCAAAGTGACTGGCATGTACGCTGATACGTGCCTGATACGCGCTGAAAATTCCAACATGTTGGAAGTTCCATTTCGGCGCGTTTCCGTACACATGGCGCCCCAAAAGCCAGCAAAAATACGCACAAACGCGTGGTTTCACGCGTACACGCGCCAGTTGTGAACACAGCTTTACCGTCAAGAAGGTGAACTCGCGTTCTTCGCACACTGTAGACAAGGGCAAAGAGATAAAAATGGATCTAAATCCGAATAAAATCTGCACACGTTTCCGTAAATGAAAGGGTGAGCATAAGCAAATGAATCGAAGGAAACCGGTCAACTCAGAGATCACCTGTCATCGAGTATTCCGTAAAAGGAGGCCTCGGCAGCGGAAAAGCTAAATTTAGAAAAGAGATCCTGTCAGCTTTTCCATTATTTATTGCATTCCGCCCAAAATCAGCACACTTTTCGTAAATGAAAGAGTCAACACAAGCAAATGAATCAAAGGGAACTGGTCAACTCACCTGTCATTGAGTAATATTCCGCGAAAGGAGGTCTCAGCAGCGCCGAAACGAAATCAGCCAGGCCAGGAGACGAAATATCCGAAACAGCTCATGCAAGAAGCAGTTCCAAAGAAGGAAGTAATTAGTTCCTCGCGCATGCACTTCCGAACACGGATCCGCAGACTAGACTGCACAGAACACAATGTCTGCCGTGCACGTGCACAGCACGCGGCTACCACGGGTTGGTGGTAGATCTAATACCGAGCACCTTACGTAGAGACTTACGTAGCCTAAGTGAAATACCGAGCACCTTACGTAGAAACTTACGTAGCATAGCGATGTCGTTTTTTCTGCCATGTGAACACAATAATAGAAAAGCTGACAGGATCGCTTTTCTAAATGAGAGAGAGAGAAAGGGGGGGGGGGGGGCAGAAATACTGAGAGAGGAAGGGTGGGTGTTCACTTCGTGTGTACCAGCCATCACGCAATAATAGAACAGGTGGGTTGAAATTCAGGCTTAGTGAATGCTAAAATAGCCACCTTTGCCATACAGCCCTAACCGTTATGCTATTTTGGTGCTTGTTGTTCTGTTTGAGAGCATCTTGATTATGTGAGGGGTCAAGCTGTCAATTAGCGCCAATAGCGGGTGGTCGCAGCGCAATATTTTCTACGCGTGAGTATTTTCAAACATAAACAGCCTTAGAATCTCAAGCGCCCATTGACTGATCAATTAGACCTCGCTGTGCATTGCAAGAGGATCAGTTCAACACGACTTACTATAATAGACCAGATCGACACCAAACATTAATCACATGAAGCACACATGTACACAGTACGGACGAGTGAGTACAAGAGTTGGGGTCTTGAAGAGGGCACTTTGAGCCCCTCAAGGCCAAGGTAAACATAACACATATAATTGGGCTGTTCTGGTCCAGGGCAGCCATGTGCATGCATCGCACACGCACTCGATAATAATACAATTACTTCTGAAGTAATACCTGTACATGCAGTGGTGTTGGTACAGTCATTTTCTTTTCTTCTTCTTTTTTTCTTTTTTACTAGAGCCACGTAAACCCGTCCGTCATGTGTGAGCCATGGATAAGGGGAGTGGTGGCGTGGTCTGGGATGCTCTGCCGACCTTGGGTCTTGGCTTCATCACAACCAGGCGGCCAATAATTCCAACAAAGTATCTGTACTAGAGTGTGTCGTGGTACCTGTATTTGTGTCATGATGCTGGAAAATTGACGGGACCAAGCAGCTACTAGTACTAGTACTAGTAGTAGTTG